TGTGGAAAAAGCACTGAAATCCAAGCAGCGTTTGGAGCCAAATGTAGTTAAAGCCCAGTAAATGCTGTACTGACTGAAATTACTTCTAAGTCATGAAGTCCTAAAGCACAGGGGAAGTCACTCCCTCTGTCAGGGATCATGGGCCGTCTTTCAGCTCCAATCAAGGGAAGGAACTGAGCCCAGAACACATGTTGTGGTGGCGTAGTGAGTCAGACATGCATAGGCACACCAAGCGAAAGACCCTTTGCCTAGGAAAATGCTGGGGAGCCAATGTGATGGAGAGTTTGGGAAGAAGTACTGTGGACTAATCAGTGACTTGGAGTCAAATTCGAGTGAAGCTTCTTTAGTCTATTTTCCCAGGAAGACCTCCAAGTTTTGTTCTTTGAAGAGAGCAGGGCATTCTGATTGGCCAAGAAGGGAGAACTGGGTCCAGAAGTTGCAGACAATGGAGCAACACTGTGAGTCCATCCACTGAACGAATAAACACGGTGCCGGAATCATTTTGAGCAATGAAGTTGACGGCTCTAGTATTCAAGTCTTTGGAGCTGGGATCTATGAAACAGGTCGGAAATCTGCTGTCCTAATAGCTTCTGTGTAAGTCACAGAGCCCTGGCCTATGGGGTTTGGCCATTTAAAAGCAGGCATGCGACATGCTTTTCTTCCCCCATAGGGGACACAGAGGCTGGGCACAGCAGGAGTAACACCTGCAGAGTAACCACAACCACAACTATGAACAGGGACAGTCTCATTCAAACTCACAGAATTCCTTCTGTCCTTCCCTGCAGTATACGCTAAGAATAAAGCAACTGGCAGTAAGGGGGGAAGAGGAAGGAAAGATATGAGGAACTGTGCCCACATCAGCAGGCTGTGGGGACATGATCATTTGCTATACAAACCACAGTGCATGGAAGAACTTGAGCTCAAACTGGTGTTCATACCACCCAAATCCATCAGATCACAGCCAGCCACACAGCCCATAGCAGAGGATGTATGTCTCCTGCAGAACCTGCCATACTAGAAAACACCTTCCCAAGCACAAAGGCCCAACACAAATCTGCCTTCTCTGGGATTTCTATGGCCAGCAGTTAGCTCCACAGCTTCTCTCCCCTTGGAGGGCTCCTTTGGCACCCACAGATACCACTTCACTTCAAATGCACCATGTCTTACACGGTATTAGCTTTTGATCTTCCCAACTATTAATAGACTAACTCCCTAATTTTATAGTTCACCATTTCCCTCAGACCTCCTGACACTTAACATTTGGCTCTACATTGTATGTGACTGATAGGTTTCCACGGATGGTCACAGACAAAAGTGTGGAATGCCGTATTTATTTCCTTCAAAAACCCAAAGTTAGCCCGGCTGTGGGGCTCAGTGGTTGTGTCAACCTAGGAACCAAGTGGTCACAGTTTGATTCCCAGTCAGGGCATATGTCTGGGTTGTAGGCTCAATCCCTGATTGTGAAGGAGGCAGCCAATCAATGATTCTCATCATTGATGTTTCTTTTCTTTAATTGTTAAAAAATATATTTTTATTTCAGAGAGGAAGAGAGAGGGAGAAAGATAGAAACATCAATGGTGAGAATCATTAATTGGCTGCCTCCTGCACACCCCCCTCTGGGATCGAGCCCACAATCCAAGCATGTGCCCTGACTGGAATTGAACCATGACCTCCTGGTTCATGGGTTGATGCTCAACCACTGAGCCACCGTGGCTGGGCGCCATCATTGATGTTTCTTTCTCTCTCTCTCTCTCTCTCTCTCTCTCTCTCTCTCTCTCTCTCCCCCTTCATCTCTGAAATAAATAAAAAGATCTTTTAAAAAACAACAAAAAAACAACCCCAATGTTATAAAAAAAAAAAAAGGAAATGGGAAAGTATTAAGCAGGAAAATAAACCCATTTAACTAAAAAGGAAACATGCATAAAGACACAGAAAGAAAAAGAAATCTATTTTATTCATTTAGATTTTTATTTTGAATGCTTCAATCAAAAAAAATTTCATATGGTTATTTACAGTGCTGAATGTACAATTATGAATGTATGCCTTTTTGACATCAGGGTACCATTCTTGAGCAGCAATATAATTTTAAAAATATAAAGATGCAATATCATTTCTGATATAAAGTTTCTTAAAAAAATTCCAAAGTCTTAGGGAATTAACAAATCATAACAGGAGTTAACTATTTTATTAATTTAATGTGCACATAATTACCAAATTTTAATACATTAAAAAATATGTGTAAATACCCACAGACTGTACAAAAATTAACATCCCATATTTTGCTAAAAGTTCCCAACTACCTCCCACCATAAATATACAAAAACCTATTTCAGATATGTCAAAATTACATGCAAGATATCTTAGAACGTTTTCTAAAGCTTGAATTTTGCTCTTCTCTGAACAGTGTATGTATAGCTGTTTTGGAAACAGAATATATAAACACTGATATTTTTACCATGCTTTTGAAACTGCGCAGTATTTTCATAAACAGGGATAACAAAATAAATACAGTAAAAACTGCAACAGTTTTGTTTAAATGCAAGTGCAATTTGGAAAGCTCTCAAATGCAAGGATTATAAAACTAATATAAAAGTATTCATTTTGTTGTTGGCTTAGCCACTTTTATTCAAGCATTATTTGCAGCAATGCCTTACAGCAGTTGGTGCTAGAAGATACAAACATAGTCACCACTATTTATATTTGAGGGAGAAAAAAACTTTAAACAACCCTGAGGGAGACACACATTAAAAATCATGTTATTTATTTAAAAAGTTAAAAAGTTACATATCATTATTTAACAATTATTTTCCCGGACATTTCTGTCCTTAAGTATGTGCATAAATAAAATTTAAAGCGGTAATATTTATTAATCTTAATAAACCAAAATAATATATGTACAGATTTTAAAGTTTACGTCTGTATACACTCAAATAATTTAATGTGAAATTAAGAATCAAAATTGCTATGTAATGGTGACCTACAGAGAGAGAGAACTCTATCTATGGCACTGAGTAGGACCCACACCTATATTCACAAACATTCCTCAAATAATATTCTGGAAGCCATCAATTACAACTTGAACAACCCACTTAGTTCAAATCTAACTTCCTACAAATGCTTTTCCACCTACCTAAAAACCTTATTCCTTTGAAAGCAATATAGACAGATGAGATATAAAACCCTTATAAAATCTAAATGTTAAAAAAAGGGAGGGTGTAAAAATATAGCTCTTTATGATCATGCTCTTAAAGATGTTAAATACAATCTGATAATTGGGTTTTTAAGCTGCTACTAGCAATTACCTTAATTATATGCTTCAGTATTTAAATCAAAGAATAAGATTTACAATTCTGGGAAATCGCTGAAGAATAACACTTATACATGTTGAAAATAAATGTGGAAATTATAAAACAATCAAGAGAATAACTATAGAAAACAGTGCTAATTCACAGCTCAAGAGGTCTAAGATGCATAGCTTCATAGAATCATTCATGGGACAATTGTTCTTATCTAATGTGTATTAATAGCGTATTATTTTTTTATGGAAACTTTTTTTTTTTGTGAGAATCATCAGTGGCAATAGCAATAACAGTGATCCTGAGTGTAACTTACATTTTTCTATAGTCACCAAACATCATTCATATCTCTGCACCACAAAAAATGAGAATCATTTGATTCTACAGTTCTGCGTAACATTTGGTAAATTGGTAAGTACAGATCAGGAAAATAATGACCAGCTAGAGGTGAACAGTACACCCATGCTACTGGTTAAGGAAGAACACAGGATAATATCACATACTTTTAGAAGTTTAGTGTCCATTTTACAGCAGTATCAGTTTCCTTGTTTATCCATAACTGTGGACTTTGTCAAACTACTGGATCTTACCTATAAAGGCATTTTTAAAGTTACTTTTATTTTGTTTAGAATTTAAACATTATCTAGGCAAAACAGAAAGGTGAAAAATATTATTCACATTTCATTTGATTCAATGAATGTCTATTCTTTAACTTTATTTCCATTTTTCTTTTCTCCCAGAAAATGCCACCACCAAAGTATGTTCATTTGTAAACATCCAATCCAAAATAGGTAAACTCTGACTTCTGGCGCCACCTAATGGCATAAAACAAATTCTCGCCAAGTTCATATTGCTTTGAACAAATTTAGTAGTTGTTCAAAACCACTCCTTTTTTAAGCCTTATTATTGATAGAATAGACATACATCAAATCTTTAAAATTTTAGAAGGCAAAAATCTAACTCAAAAAACTAAAAAATAGCAAAAAACAAACAAAAAGCTAGCTCACTACTATCCAATGTTTTTAGAAAATTAAAAAAGCAGAAAATAAAAGACATTTAAAATAATATAAAACCTGAGAGGAGGAAAAAAACAGGTATGGAGAGATATCAGAAAGATAGATCCACATCTATTACCAAAAGAAATAATATTTTTTCCTAATGAAAAAGGTTTACAACATTTAACTAAAGCAAATTACACTACTGACCCCAGACAGCACAGACACATTAACAGTTTTGAGGGACATCTCCAGAAGGCAGTGAAGCACCTTGCTGATTAGAAAAATAAAACCCAGGCAGTTTGTACAGAAAATATAAAACCATAAGTGGAAATTACCTGAGTTGTTCTATAAGCAACACCATAAAACTCACTCCTAACTCTGGATTATCGAAGGAATCTGGTGTATGTATATATAGAATTCTTTGGAAGAAATGTTGGAATCAAATGAAAATAGGCTTTTTAACTATTTTCACTAGAGCCTAATCATAAATTTAGGGCCTGTATATAAACAAGGACCTTTTCTAAGAGGAGTTGTGAAAATAAATTTAAAGGTGTAAACTAAGTCTCAAGGGCTAATGTCTAAAACCCTACCAAATACCAACTTTCTTCTATACCCTATATAAAGAGTATCACTGAGGGTAATAATCAAGAACATTGTGGAAATATAATATTCAGAGTTACTGAATAAAGAAAGAGGACTTCACAGATTGATTATTAATTTAGCTGGCATGCCAATCTTTTATTTTTGTTTCTTTTGTTTAAAAAAAAAAAAAAGCTCTGAAATCAGCTACTATATCAGAAGGAACACAGATTGAAATGATGCCATCTGACACACAGGATCAGGAAGTCCTAAATTACATTCTGTTCAATACTGCTACTAGCATCCCATCGAGACTGATGCGCTGCTATGTTATGGTGATGATTTGACATGATCCATTTTCTTTAACTAAAGCTTTAGCTTCTGTTGTCGTCTGAGGTTTTGGTGGCCATTCCGGGTCAACCAAGAGCTCCTGAGCCAGATACATGTACTTTGCTTTTGGTATCTTCTTTCTACAGTCCAGGGCACAGGACAAGCAGCATTTCCCCCAATAATCCACTGACTCCTAAGGAAATAAGGAAAAAGAACACCCCAGAAGATTAAAGGCTACTTGTTTTTAACAAATTTATTAAAGCAGAGTATGTCAACACAAAAAAAATAAGACGAAGTGACTTTTGAGCATAAACAAATGAAAAAAAAATCCATGTAAAAAAGTAAGCTTTCAATTATTTAGGAACATTTTTAAAGGTTAAATGTTTTAGTTATCAATTTAATATACTTTATTTTATTTAGGTTATAGACCTCACCTCTTGTGTATGTATACTTTTTTTCCCCATTTCTTTTTGTATAGATACATTTTTAAAATAACTTGCAGATCTGGATAACACAAAACATCTATTGCATCAAGAATTATTTTAAACTATTCAGAAAGAGAAAATATTTTTAATATTTTAATATTCAATATGGAAACTCTCATTTTCTATCCCAAACTATCCTTTGGTACTAGATCATTTTTGGAAGAAAGCAGTGTAAAAAATATCATTGTTACTGTTAATATTACCTTTTAAAACATAAAACATTATGAAAATATTGTTAGGTCAAAATTAGAACTTAGATCATGTTTAATATCATTCACTTCTTTTAAAGCCACATTTTCATTCATACAAAAACAATTTTATTTTATAATGATGGTTACCCTTGGTGCTCTACCTTTAAGAGGAGGTACATACAAAGCTATAAAGCAAGTACTATTTCTTAGTATTATTTCATTATAAAAAGCTCTGCTGTCATTGAAATCCTTCTGATTAATCCTGATGTTTTTAATGACTGTGATCTTAGATAAAGAATTCTCGAAGAACAAGAAAGCAGAGTCCCTTGTTATTGTAAAGAAATATAAATGCAGTAGAGGCCCTCAGAATTTATCTTAACTGAAATTTGTGGTAAAGAAATGAAATAAACCCAATTGGTTGGGTGTTGTCCCGTGCACCGAAAGGTTGTCGGTTCCATTCCCAGTCAGAGCACATGCCCAGGTTGTGGACTCAATCCCCAGTAGGGGCGTGTAGTAGCCAGCCGATCGATGTTTCTCTGTCACATCGATGCTTCTATCTTTTTCTCCTTCTCCCTACCTCTCTCTCTAAAATTAATACAAAATCTTTTTAAAAATGAAATAAAAGTAAACAACTATACCAAGAACTAATTATATTCACCTCTAAAGAATGATCAATTTTTAATTATTTTGGCTTTTGTTTCTCCAAAGCAAAATCAAATCCCAGATTTTTTATTCTGCCATTAATACATAACCCAGTCTACAACTAGGTCTAATCTCAATTGAAACAATCTCACAAAATGGAAGCATAACATAACGGAGAGGAGCATTCTAATATGTTAACATCCAAAATATTTTCATGATCAAGAAAGGCAGATTTGTTATAACATATGTGTTCTGAAACATGTTTCTACATTTGCCAATGGAGAACAGCAAAATACTTTAATATGAAAACTCTTACACTTTTCTACATTTGGACTTGGTAGGTCCTCTTATTTTATTGAGACAACCACCAGGAAGCTACTACTCTTTCCTTCTCCAAAACTGTGGGCATGTGGCAGCACTGAGATCACTGATAATAACTGAATGCTTTTAAAGGTCTGCTTACTTTGTCAACAAAACACAGTAAGCTGCACTGCTATACAGAATTTATAGGCAAAAACTGTGGTAACAAGTAAGTTATACTTTACAATTCTGTGGGGAGAGAGGAGGTACAGATTTTATGATTAGCCATCTAGCTATAAAGAGAGCTATTACCATCACCTTAAAAGAAGCCCACAAGATGATACAGGATTCTTCAGGTGATGCAAATAACTAACAATTCCTTTCCAGGGGAGGCTCGTACACAACAAACCTTAACATTTAATCTGAGGTGAGGGCTCACTACTTGGATTTTTTTTCCAAGGTGTTTAAAGTCTTCAATTTAGTTGCAGAAAAGACCATTGTTCCTAAATCAATCTGAAAGCCGTCATTTTTTATTTTATGGCATGTAGCACTTTTAAAAGATCACAGGAAGAGATTAATGGTGAATGGTGATTGTAAGAAAACAAACAAACAGACAAAACAAAAACCCAGAAACATATGGCCTTGTCTGTCCAGATGAGCCGGCAGGGTTGAAGGACAATGCAGAGTTAAGGAAAGTCATAGCCAAGTGTATTCAAATGGAAGACACACATGAACATCTCTAAATCCACTGTTCCCTACCTTCGGAAAGTGAGGCAAGCAATAAAATTAAAGCCAATTTCATTGCAAACAGAATCGCAATTGAATAGTATTCTTTCTTTTTTAAATCCTCACCTGAGGATATGTTTATTGACTTGAGAGAGAGAGAGAGAGAGAGAGAGAGAGAGAGAGAACAGAATCGCAATTGAATAGTATTCTTTCTTTTTTAAATCCTCACCTGAGGATATGTTTATTGACTTGAGAGAGAGAGAGAGAGAGAGAGAGAGAGAGAGAGAGAGGAGAAAGAAACATCAATCGGTGCCACCCCAACTGAGAGAGCGAATCTGCAACTGTTTGGTGTACGGGACAACACTTCAACCAACGGAGCCATCCAGCCAGGGCTGAATAGTATTCTTTTTACATTAGCATGTATGTTTAAAAAAATCCTCATGTCCCTATTAAAAGCAAGGTACACTTGTTATCATCCAGAAAAAATAAATGAAGTCACAAGAAACACTAGGGATATCCCCTCCACTGTAATTAGACACGTATTTTGTTTCCGTGTCCTCACCTCCCCCAAACATCATACACAAAAAGTATACTATAAGCAAGCATAGATTTGTTAGTTTGCAAGCACAAACATACCACACCATCCTCAAACACAATATAACACACCGGTAGAGAAAATAAAAGGTGTTACAGGCATGCTGGAATGAAAAATAAATCCAGAGAGAAGATGGTGGCAAGAGGAGAAAAGCAAGCACTGTGCAACTAGAAAGTGAAGAGGGGGAGCATCACAGGACTCAGAATGAGCACTTGGATCTCCCTGAACACCTGGGGATAGGTCTCAGAAGCAGGAGAACACATGAGCCATAGCAACTGGAGCTTTTGGTTGGCTCCTGAAAGGAAACCCTGGTTAAATAACCACGTGTATCCCTCGGAAAAGGGAAAGAGGCTACCGCAGACCAACAGAGAAACCACAAAGAACTTCCAAAAAGATCTACAGCTAAAATTCCCCTGCTTCTTAGACCATTACAAACTGTTCATTCTAGAACCCCAATGCCAGTTTAATCTTTGCAGTGTCTTTTAGGAAATGTTTTCATGGGTAGCATGTAAAATATAAAGCCAGGCTTGCAGGACATGTTATAATGGTACTATGGTTTTCATAAAAGTCTTCTTCCATACCAATCCTGAATATAAAACAAATAAGGACAATTAGAATTAGCATTACATCTACATAAGCCCGAACAATATTCTAAGTGGCATAAAGACTATAGCTAACACTTGGATCCCCCGCCCCCCCCCCC